GTGGTTACGCACTGGGCTGCTCACTGAAAGGTCAGCAGTTTGAAAACATCAGCCCCTCCGCTGGAGAAAGACAGGGCTTTCTACTCCCATAAAGAGTTGCAGTGTTGGTAACTCAAAGGAGCAATTCTACCCTGCCCTATAGGGTCTCCACGAGTCGGCATCTACTCAATGGCAGGGAGTTTATACATTTTCAGTAGAGCCTTTGTGTGTGGGTGTCATGGCATGCCATTCACACCATGTGTCACAATTCAGACTGTGAACAGTATGTTCTGGGGGTGCAGGCTTTGCCAGGAAACTCCCCTCCAGTCTATTGGGAGGCAGTGCAGCCTGTAACTGAGTGCTTAAACTCTAATACCTGTGCCACAACCCAGCACAGCAACCTTGGGCAACTTTAATGGAGCTATCAAGATAACCTACTTCCAACCAGGAGTTCTGAGGACTAATGAGCAAATACAGAGAAGTACTCATAACAGTGCCCGAGCCCAGGTGCATTTTAAGAAGAATGTCTTTTGCATAAAGACAATTTACACATAGGCTTTTGGGAGCTGGTTTACTACTTAAAGTACAGTACAATCGTGCCATTTAAACAAACCAACAACAAAAAAGTCCTTCCTCCTGAAGCCTCTTATCAAGGCCTTTGAAGGTGGTAGCATCCCTGGGTGGTACAAACAGTTAATGGAATCAGCTGCTAGTCATAACGTTGGAGGTTCGAGTCCACCAAGAGGTGCTTTTGTAAACTCAGCCCCTGCAAACCTCCTGAAGAGCACAGTTCTACTCTGACCCAGGTCCGGTTGCTCTGAGTCAGACTCAGTTTGATGACACTTTTGGGGGTGGGGGTGGGAGGGTGGGGGTAGGTAGGTTGATAGGATTAGATGTTTGAGAGGCAACATTTCACTGTGTTGTTTATGAATACATAAATTTGAAAGTTGTATGCATTTCATAGAGAGCCCTGGTGGGGCAGCGATGAAGTGCTGGGTTTCTAAATGCAAGGTCAGTTGTTTGAATCCACAGCTACTCTGTGGGAGAAAGGTAGCAGTCTGCTGCTATAAAGTTACAGCCTTAATAATGCCAGGAGACAGCTCGATGCTGTCATGGAGGGTCCCTGGAGTTAGACCCCAACAACAGCGTGCACCCAGTTACTACTGCCTACCTGGCTTCCAATTGTGGGCAGCCACATGTTGGGAGTTAAGTGTCTAAACGGGAGGCCGGGCGAGGGTTTGACCCTAAGTCTGTTCACTTTGACCACTTGATGGTAGCATGGAGCATGGCTGCCGGGGCCTCCTGGACCCGCCCATGTGGGTTGCGGGTCACTCTGCAGGCCCAGTGGCTTCAGTATATTATTTCCCGACAATCATCTCTATGTGGGCGGGATGGGGCCTTTGGTCAGTTGCTTCTTTGGGAAGATGGGGTTGCTTACCCACGATGGCTTTCTGTCGACATACCCCAAGACCTGGGTGCTCTGTGGACTGGAGGAGTGGTGGACACTTGCTGTTAGGGGGTTACCTGCCACCGGGGTCCCTGCTGCAGCCCTGGAGCTATGATGTTGACATAGGGAGATCAGCGCTTAGATGGGCTGGCTAACCTTTAAGGGGCCTTGCCCTTGCCCTTTAACTTGAACTTGCTTTGTTTCCTTCTCCCTCCGTGCTGGTGGCGTAGTGGTTAGGAGTTGGGCTGCTAACTGCAAGGTCAGCAGTTTGACTCCACCCAGAGGTCCTTGGAAAAAGAGGGGACTTTCTACTTGCATCAACAGTTACTGTCTTGGAAACTCACAGGGGCAGTTCCACCCTGCCCTGCAGGGTCCCTATGAGTCAGAATCAACTCCGGGGCAGTGAGTTTGGGGTGTGCTTTTTTCCTTTTGGAGGAGGGGTGCAGCCTCAAGGGAATTTTGCAAAGACTGTGGACAAGGTTTGCATCGGCAGCCCGGCCTCAGGTGGAAGGAACTCTGTGTGGCCCACCCTGTTGCCTGCCTCTGGTTTTCTCCTGATCAGGCCAACGAAAAGCTGAGTCTACACATTGAGTTTAAAGAAAACAAACAACTAACACGTGTCCACAATTCTATGAACACAAAACTGCTAGCTGCCCCGTGTTTTGTCCTCCTCTCTGCCTCCCAGTGGGCACCTTCGAGAGAGCCCTCCCACCAGCCTCTGGGTGGATTTCCTAGCCTTGTCATCTGCCAATCGGTGGGTAGCATTAGGGGACTTCTTTCCCTGGGGCTCAGGGAGTGTCTTGGCCAGCCTGCATCCTCCCCTCTCTCGACAGTGTCAGGAGAGGTCATGGCGTGGTGAAGACCTATAGGCACACAAGACATTGTCCTCCAGACAGTGCCTGCTGCCTGGGGTGATGATGCTAAATTATACATGGGCGAAGGCTTTCTGCAGAGCTGTTTTTCCACTGGCGTACAAAGCACTCGTCCCAGGCTGCATTTGACAAAGAGGGGTGAGGCGGCCTGGCCCTGCAGAAACTGGAGCTTCGGAGCGGCAGGCAGGTCACGTCTAACCCACTGTGCACTCAGGGTGGTAACCTTCTACCATCAACCGGAGGATGAGACCTACACTTTAATTGTCTATTTGAGTGGCATTGCCTTGAGCAGAGAAGACTGGTAAATAGTTTAACTATGAAATTTGTTAGAGTTTTGTGAGCGTGTGAAATAAACAAAAGCAAGAAGGAACAAAGCAAAAGTCACACGTGCCAAATTGAACTCTGGGATGGAGGAGGAATCTGGCTGTGGCTCCAGTAGAGCAAGCAGCTCGTGACTGAAGCTGTCTGCTTCATGATTGGGCATCTTCCTTCTCCCCATGAGTTTGCTTCACGCTTACTGGATTCCAGGTATACATCTCCACCCTACTTATAAAAACAAAACAGTCCCTTCATTAAAGTGATCGAAAGCCCGTCTTACTCAGTCAACCCTCCAGAGCCACATGCAGAAATGACGTAAGCAAACCACAAGGCCAGTCCCCGAGTTTCATTCCTCACGTGTATCCAATGTGGGGACTAAGTCAGTCAGTCACTGCCCTCCAATCAATGCCCACTCAGAGCAACCTCTAGGACAGGGAGAACTGGCCCTGTGGGTTTCTGAGACCGTAACTCTTTTAAGGGAGTGTCAAGCTTCATCTTTCTCCTTCGGAGCAGCTGGTAGTTTTGAACGGCTGACCTTGTGGTTAGCAGCCCAACGGGTAAGCACTCCATCACTAGGGCTCCTAATGTGGGAATTACCACCTGCCAATTCCTTTGAACCGATGTCCCAGTTTGAAAACAAATGGCAATGGTTGATCCCACTGGAGAGAGAGAGAACACAGGTTGATGAAGTGAGGATTCGAGTTTGAGGAATCATTTATGGTGTTTAGAATTCTCCAGGTTAGGAAGTGGAACTGACCAGTGGGACAAGTTGCTGCTGGTCCAGTTTGCCTCCTGGATACCCATGCGGGACTGGAGCTGTGGATTCTTTGGCAGTAAGCCAGGCCTTTCTCCCAGGGCACCTTTGGGTAGGCTTGCACCCTCAAGTGTTTGATCAGCAGGTGAATGCATAACTGTTAGTGTCACCCAAGGACTTCTATTAAAATGGTCTCATTTAAAAAAAAAAGTGTCCATGCTTCTATTATGATATAATGTAACTGAGCCATTTAATCGTATTAATGAGAGTTGTGCAGTCATCACCACAATCAATTTCAGAACATTTTTTTCTTGTGCTTATTGTTGTTAGCTCCCCACTTCCCCCTCCCTGCCAAGTACTTAGGTAATGATTAGTCCAGTTACTGTCTCTATAACTGTACGTATCCTGGATTTCATTTACAGAAAACCATACAAAGCATAAACAGGAAGCAACAAAGAAAACAAAAAAAGCAAGGGGTTTTTTTGCAATCAAAAAGAAGCAGAAAACATTAAAAATTGGAACAACTTAAAATGGGTCGAAAGGAAGATCAAATGATAAAATGTTACATTTTAACCTAACTGCATCTGCCCAAATCCACTCTACAATGCTGTCTGATGCAGGGCTATTCGCATCCCTGGACTACATTCAGAGGGGACATTGCATTCGTGTGGGGACCCTGAAAGTGGACTGTGGGCTCCCATTGTCACCCATAGCCTTCTGCAAACCAAGCGCTCACAATTTAAGTGTTGCTACGATTCTCTCCTCTGGATTTGGATTTTATTACGTATTTACAATCCTTGGCTCACACGGGCTAGAGTGCTTCTTCCCTGTGGACTTAGCTGACACCTCAGACGATTGCTTGTTTTAAAATGGGCATTTAAGATTTTTGTGATACTTGGACACGCCCCCCCAAAAGTCCTATTTTTAAAGTGGGTCTGAGCCCTCCATTTTCAGTTATTTTTTTTGACAATTGTTAGTATCAGGAATTGGCAACCAGTAGCCCCATGTTTTGACGATGAATAAGTAAGACTGGAAAAGAATTCGTGCACTTGACTTGTACTGGTGCAGAATATCGAAAGTACCATGGACTGCTAGAAGAGAAAACAACTCTGTCTTGGAAGAAGTATGGCCAGAATGCTCCTTAGAAGCAAGGATGGCAAGATTTCATCTCATGGACTTTGGCCATGTCATCAGGAGAGACCAGTCCCTGGCAAAGGACAACCATGCTTGGTCAAGTAGAGGTAGTGAGAAAGCCGACCCTCCGTGAGACAGATGGACACAGTGGCCGCAATGGTGGGCTCCAACATGGCCATCGTGGTGAGGATGGTGCAGGAGTGGACGTGTTTCATTGTGTCGTATCTGGGTCTCAATGAATCAGAACCAACTGGACAGGACAGCGCCTTCTAACAAGAGCATAGTGGGCAGGTGTGGGGACATCCTATCAATGTACACACTTGTCACTTTCCCTCTGATAAATACCTTTCGCAGGCCACAGCGACTGGTGTACAGCCAGCTTACCACTGCTGGTGCTTAACACGGATTGAAATATTGGATGCTGTCTGTCTGGCGACAGCATTTTATTCACTCAGAATATGACCAGAGGTGATTTTGGTCTCCTCCCCTTTGACAGGTGGTGACCAAGAAGGAGGACTTTTTCAGTGCCTGGAACTCATGCCTTCACCATGTGGCTTCGCTGTCCCTGGCGCACATTCACAAAGGTCAGTGGGCTCCTGTGAACATTTGTGACTGAGAGGTAACGGCTCTGGCAGGTTACCTGAACCATGGCTCTGCAGAGAAAGCACGGCCCCCTTCCAGCCTGGCCCTGGGGATGAGTTTGACCCACACCACTGACTGTCCAGTTGCTCCGTACTCCTGCAGACCTCGTGTGCCTCTGAGTAGAACTGGACTCCGTAGGGTTTTCAAGGACTGATTTTTTTTCCAGAAGTTGATCACCAGGTTTTTCCTCTGAGGTGTCTCTCAGTTTAAACATCCAACCTTGTGGTTAGCAGCCAAACGTCAGTTTTTTCGTTTGTTTGTTGACATCCCCCAGGAACACCTGGGTTGATTATAAGACTGCCAAATAGCTCACAGAGGCTTGTGGAGTGAATGAATCCCCACATTACTTGGCCACCTGGAGATCTCAGAGCTCTGGGCAGCTCCCATGACTCAGCCGGCCGCACTCGTCAGAAGCCGGTTGCAAAAAGCTGGCCCTCAGAAGTGACCCTCCCAGCCAAGAGTGCCATTCCTGAACACACAAAGGGGAGGGCATGGTGGCAGGCAGGTCGCGTGATGGTGCTTTGATAGGTTCTGCGGTGCAATAGGTTTCTCATATCTCTGGCCTGTCTGGACTTGGGTTGACAATTCTGCCAAGAACGATGGGTTGGACCACAACCTGCTCTGTGGTTGGATTATTTTATGCAGATTGCAGGAATTGGTCTGTTTATTTTGCAAATAGGGTAAGTAAAACCACCTTATAGAACTGAATGACTTGTTGATAGAGTAGCCAACCAAGCAGAGGGTTTCGGGTAAACACGCGGGGCGGGAAAGCAGGAGAAGCTGTAACACTGAAGACAGCCAGACGTGTCGTGAGACAACGAGACGAGGCCCACAGCCAGCAGAGCCTGGCAGCAGTAGACCTGAGGAAGCACTCTTGTTTGGAAGCTGTCCGGATCGAACAACTGTAGCCTGGCTTCCCAGTGGTATCAATCTACTTCCTGTGAATTCGGAACATGAATTACATGGCCCGTTGCGTTTGGCTACCAACTTGCAAGGTTGGCAGCTCAAACTCGCCAAACCGTCCCCTGGGAGAAAGATGAGACTTTCTGTACGTCTCAGAAACCCTCGGGGGCAGTGCTTCTCTGTCTTACAGGGTCACGGGGAGCCATTGTCCATCCGGCGGCAGTGGGTTTGGCGTGACTTTGGGTTTGGCTGACTTAATGAACCCCTCGAGCCGAAGGGCAGTTCATGGATGTTGTGAGCCGTGGCAGAGAACTGCCAGAGGCACAGAGGAGAGCAAGCGTGCTGTGAGGAGAGGCAGTGGTGATGTGAGAGATGACGGGGCGGCGCAGCAGCTCGGGGAAGGTGGCAGTCTGGGCCAGCTTGCACCTTCACCTGAGAGGGACCAGCTTGGTGCTGATCCTTATGAAAGGAATCAATTGTTCAGGGTCACGCCTGGCGAGCTTTCAATACTAGAACCAACTGCTGGAGCCCAAGCCACACATCAGCGAGTAGCTGGTTCAGCACTTTCCACTTCAGCCCCTCGGGACATTTGGCAATGTGTGGGGACATTTTTGTTGGCGCACGGGGAGGGGTGCTACTGAATTCTAGAGAGTACGGGCCAGGAGTGTTGCGAAGCATCTAACAAGGTGCAGCAGCCCCTCTAACAAAGAATTGCCTGGCCCCCAAATGTCATAATGGTGAGGTTGAAATACCCCGAACCTTCATTTTGGCTTCAAAAGACCACACTAACATAAACTAAAGCAACCATTAAAAAGCAAGCATAATCCTAGTGCATCTGTGGCACCACCTCATTCCTCAGTGGGGTCTGTTAGACACCAGGGGAGGTATTATGACCAGCAACCTAGGAATGCCGGAATCCTACCCAACCTCCCGGCCTGCACCCCACCTTCCCTTCCCAACCAAGCAGCTCAGGAAGACCCAAGCGCCACTTATGACTTGACACAGTGCTAACAGCTGTGGGGGTGCCCAGAACCCTCCCCCCACTGGCACCCTGATCGGAGCTGGACAGCAGCAAATGGCTTAGCACAGCCCCGTGCCGCTCTTAGCTGAGCTCAGGGTCCAGGGCTTTGGGATAACAATGTTTAGCGGACTGCAGAGAGGACAGCTCCCCCCCC